AACTCTATGGAACACAGTTCTACTCTGCACAGATGGAGTTGCCATGAGCTAGAGTTGGCTCAATGGCAACTAACAGTAACAACAATAAGTGATACTCAGAAAAAGGAAGGGTTGATGGGAGCTTAGCCTTAGAGAAGACTGTTAGCCATATAAAAGGAATGTACGAATTAGAAAATCATCATTTTGCAACCTCAACATAATAACTGATTCAAGTAAGGAACATCAAGTAAAAAGTATAAAAGGGTAAGTTGTCTAAATGTTATTACCCTATAGACTACCTGCTATCTATAAGATGTTCATTGGTCTTTTTATTTTTTAAAAAAATACATCATGAGGTCTGTCTTCCTAGTTTGTCTTAATCTAAAAGCTATACTGAAACCTGGCCACCATGGACAATTCTGCTGGTATTTGAAATACCAGTGGCATAGCTTCCAGCATCACAGCAACACACAAGCCACCACAGTATGCCAAAATGACAAGCAGAGGATAGGATGAATTATGATGCTAGTGAAGAATACTAAATATACATCCTATAGACTGCCAGAAGAACGTAAATATCTGTCTTGGAAGAAGTACAGCTGGAATGTTCCTTACAAGCAATAACGGCCAGACTTCACCTCTCATACTTTGGTTATATTACTAGGAGGGACTGGTCCCTGAAAAAGGACATCATGCTTGCTAAAGTAGAAAGTCAGTGTAAAAAGAAGACCCTCTACAAGATGGAATGGCATAGTGGCTTCAACAGTAGCTTAGTAACTCAAATATAACAATGATCACAAGGATGACACAAAACTGGGCAGTGTTTCATTCTGTTGTACACAGAGTCAACCAAGAGTCGGAACCTACTCAATGGCACCTGACAACAACAGTACCCTTGCCAAAAAAAAAGTTTAACTTGAATATAATATAATAAATCACACAAATCAACATTCTGATATAGTCCATAGAACCACCAATTTGGACTCTTCAAAACTTATAAAACATACATTCAAAAGGGGCAGAAGAAACTGTTTCAAATTAATATGGACTAACAAGAAATGTGACACATGATACCTGACTGGATCCTGGATCAAGGGGAAAAAAATACCTACTATAAGAAAAACAGGAGCTCTGGTAGGATAGTGCCTAAGGCACTTGACTGCTAACCAGAAGGCTGACGGTTCAAACCCACCAGCCACTCCTCAGAAGGAAGGGCAATCTACTTCCATAGTGATACCACCTTGAAAACCCAAGGAGGAGTCGTTGTGAGTCAGGTCCAACTCGATGGCAAACAACAACAACAACAAAATAAGAAAAATAGCTGGGATATCATTATCTGGCTTTGGTATCAGGGTTAATGCTGACCTCATAGAATGAGTCAGGAAGGGGTACCTCCTATCTTTTGGGCAAGTTTAAGAAGGATTAGTGTTAATTCTTCTTTAAACGTTAAGTAGAATCTAACAGTGAAGATATCTAGTTCTGGGTTTCTCCGTTGAGAGGATATTTCCTTACTGGTTCAATCTCTATTTATTATGTTGTTGTTAGGTGCCATCGAGTTGTTTCTGATTCATAGTGACCCTATGCACAGCAGAATGAAATACTGCCTGGTCCCGCACCAGCTCCATGATCCTTGCTATACTTGAGCCCATTGTCGCAGCCACTCTGTCAATCCATCTCATTAAAGGCATTCCCCTCCTTCGTCGACTGTCCACCTTACCAAGCATGACATCCTTCTCCAGTGATTGGTCCCGTCTGACAACATGACCAAATTAGGTGAGCATTGGAATCCTCCAAGCATTGGAGTCCTCCAAGGAGCATTGGAATCCTCCAAGGAGCATTCCAGCTGTACTTCCTCCGGGACAGATTTGTTAGAACCTTTAGCAGTCCATGGTACTCTCAGCATTCTTCACCAGCACCACAACTCAAAGGCATCAACTTTTCTTTGGTCTTCCTTACTCACTGTCCAGCTCTCACATGCATATGAGGCAACTGAAAATACCATGGCTTGTGTCAGGGGCCCCTTAGTCCTCAAGGAGGTATCTTTGCTCTTCAGTACTTGAAAGAGGTCCTTTGCAACTGATCTGCCCAGTGCTA